CTGTGTCGGGCTGTGTGCTGACAGTGCAGAGCCTGCTTGGGATTCTCTCTCCCTCTCTCTCTGTCCCTCCCCTGCTAGTGCGCTCTCTGTTTCTCTCAAAAATAAATAAACAAACTTACAAAAAATACGGATAATTAGAGGAGCATATCCTCTCTTAGTGAGAAAACAGAAGGGGGGTTGTAAGCTTCCTGAGATCAAGGTCCCGGTTTTCTACTCTTTATGTCTCCAGCATTAGCCAAGGGCCTTGCCTGATATTCACAACAAATGTTTTTGAATGTACAAATGAATTAATCATGGCTATCTGATAGAGAACTGACCTGCAGAAGCTGTTCAAAGAATAAAGGCAAGATTCTATGGCCTGTTTAGAAGCTAGAGCCACTATCAGGACTATAATTAGTAAGCCAAAGGGTCAGGGACTTCTTGGGCCAAGAGAATGAGGGGTCTGTCAGTGACTAGACTCTTGGAATTCTTTTTAAATTTTTTTTTTTTCAAAGTTTATTTATTTTTGGGACAGAGAGAGACAGAGCATGAACGGGGGAGGGGCAGAGAGAGAGGGAGACACAGAATCAGAAACAGGCTCCAGGCTCTGAGCCATCAGCCCAGAGCCCGACACGGGGCTCGAACTCACGGACCGCGAGATCGTGACCTGGTTGAAGTCGGACGCTTAACCGACTGCGCCACCCAGGCGCCCCTAGACTCTTGGAATTCTTAAAGACCCAGTAACAGTCTTTGTTCATGCTAAGACTAACCCAAGGGAGCTCTTTCTCTAACAACAATAGATTCATTAGCATGCAGGGCCCAAAGAGAAGCATGGGCAAAAGCCTAACCCTAGGAACAGCAGGTCAAACTACTCACTTTCACTAGAGTCTGGTGTTTACAGTGCAATAAGGAGTAAAGGTGGGCAAGGCTAAAACCAATTTTGAGAAATAAAAACAATTGTGTTATTGTAATCGTCTAAAAAATTGCTTTCTAGGTTTTTATGCTGTATTACTTTATTTGGTTAATTTGTTACAGTTTGGTTAATTGGTTAATTTGGAAATACATCATGGCTAATGTTCTGCCATTCAGGTGACATCCAGTATGCATACAAAGTGCAAACTTCTTAGCTTGGCATAAAAGCCCTGTGTGGCATGCTATCAAATTAACTACTTTTGCACAACCATGTTGAATCCCTTTCATATTCAATGTATGCTCCAACGGTACCAAATTTCTCTTTCAGGTCTTGGTTCATTTACATATGCCATTTCCTATGCCTATGAATTTGTTCCAAACCAGAAAATGACTTGTTTATCGTAAGATCCGATTCCAGTGTTTCCCCCTCAGTCTCTGTCTATATGGACACATCTCTATTTTTAAGAGTCACGTATCCTTTTGTTTACAATCATTTCCCTACTTTTCAACGTCATGCACTAGGCTGTCAGCTTGAAAACGGCAGGATGCATGTCTTCATTCTGTCTACCTCACCCTAGTTTAACAAAGAGTTATTGGCTGCACAAAAACACCGACACATATGCACTTAGGAAGTTATTACTGAATAATATACTAGATACCATCACTTCAAATAATTAACATTTAATAAAACAACTTGCAAACAAATTGTTAAAGATTACACTATGAACTTAGTCCCCAAGTGGTTTTGTCTACATTTACATATTATTATTATTATTTTATTCGAGAGAGAGAGAGAGAGAGAAAGCGAGCACACTGTGAGCAGGGTAGAGGGGTGGAGGGAGAGTGGGAGAATCTCAAGCAGGTTCAGGCTCCACACTCAGCAAGGAGCCTGATGCGGGGCTCGATCCCATGATCCTGGGATCCTTGACACGAGCCAAAAATCAAGAGTCAGACAATCAGCTGACTGAGCCACCAGGCGCCCCTACATTTAGTTATGATGGGCATTTGCTCTGGCATGTGGGGACCCTGGAAGAATAAAATCCCTTACACCTGTAATTACATCTATGTACTCTGTCTTGAGAACTGTTTTTTCTAGTCTAAAAGCCTATGCTCAAATGTCCATGTTTTTGGGTGATTTCATTAACATTTTAAAACGCTAACAATTCTGTCAGCCCAAACTAAAAATGGCTGTGTGAGAAATGAGAGCTTGCATAACTGACACTCGCTATTCATGGCTCATTATCCTTGGGACTTTTCATTACGCCGTGAAGAAGTGGGGTCAGCCTCACAAAATTTAGGAACAATTAAGAAAATTACTATATGCAGATGTGACTTATGGACTGAGAATAACGAACTTCCTAAAAGACTGTATTCAACAAAATAAATAAGACTGATGGAAATTCCACAGATGTTTTATGGCTTCAGGCAGCTTTTCAGTTATGCATTATAAAGACTCCTTCCAGAGATTAGCCCACTTCTCTTGAACCTTTCCTGAACACTTTGAAACTTTCTCTTTGTACTCCTCAGGGAGTCTAAGAAGTCCTAGGCCTATTTCCTGAAGTTCTTGGAGTTCGCTCTCAAACACATCCATGGATGTGAAAATACTGCCACTGACCCTCATACATTGTGAATTGCTGCCAGGCACCAAACTTTACATTCTTCTCTTAAACTTTCAAATTTTGTGGGATAAACATGTAGAAACAGCCACAAGGGCAAAAGTTATCCAAGACCCTCACATTTCATCAAAAAGGTAAAACAAAAAACAAAAAACAAACAAAAAAAAACAAACCATGTTTTTAATTTAGACAAAATTTTATTTGTCTACCAGCACCTATTTTTCTTCTACAGCAGCAGATAATGTAGGATGTAAATATAATAAGAAATTTCCTTTCCTTCTTTCCGTTCCAATAAATGTCTATTAAGTGGCTGCTATGTGCTAGGCATTAAACTACGCTGAATAATAGTGTCTCAACAGAATTTCTACTTTAGCTCAGAAGTCAGGCACATGGACAAATAATGATGATGGAATGGGCTAAGTACCATCATCTAATTTCATGTACAAAGTGCCATGGGATCCTTGTGAAAGGAGGCATATAACTTTAATATAAATTAAACCTTGAGGAGCCAGAAAGACCAGTTTGATCTTGATAAAATGAACCCCTAGGGTATATACAACCCAAGTCAACAAATATTTCTCCTTGTAGTTTGTAAACGTTTTTAAGATCCAAACAGAATCATTTTCCTTGTGCTCTCCATTGCACATGAGACAGAAAGACACTAAATAACTTAATGTAGGTTTCATAGGGTTTTTTTCTTATCTGCTGTTTATGATTATCCTTCCAAAATGATGACTATTCAAAATTATAAATAAAGGTTTTGCTTATATTTTGTTATGAAGGAGAATTTTCCTATCCCAGTTAAAATCCTGGGCCTCAATTATGTGTTAGTTCAAAAATAGATTAAATCTTAATAGTGGCTGCAAAATAAAATATGCAAAGACTTTAATCTTGTGGAAATTAAAATACAACATGGGGAAAACAGAAAGTTCAGGTGATGACAGAATATCTAATTTTATCATCAGTAGATTCCTAATAAATAACTTTTGAATTATTTTATTGTTTTAACAACATTCTTTAGGGAGTGTATAGGCTGTGGGTAAACTGCCAATGCATGGCATTTGGCATGTTGCCTTGTACATTAATAGGTGCTCAGTCCATATATATAGGATTCAATGTAAAATGCTTACGACCTCCTCACACCTTATCACATAGTCATGTCTTCTTAAAAGGCAATTCACTATACAATGGTCTTTTGTTTCTCAATATAGTAAGATGTCCTTGTTCCAAGGTCTGCCTGCTCAGTCAGAAGAGCATGCGACTCTTGATCTCAGGGTCGTGAGTTCAAGCCCCACATTGGGTGTTGACATTACTAAAAGTAAATAAACTTTAAAAATGGGACCAGCCTAGAGCTAAGACCTCACCTCCAAAATAGCCAAAAATTCTCTGATTTGGTCTCTCTGATCACAGGTGGTCCTTTTCAGGAAAAAAAATCTAGGTCCCTATAAAATATCTTCTAAGGATATTCTCCTTTTCCCAAGTACCATGAAAACTAGTTCCAAATGATGGGTTATTCTTTAAATTAAATGGACTTTTTCATTCTATCTTGGAGCCAGATTGAGAAACTGGAGAAGAAAGGTACCTAATTAAAAAGAATATGTGTGTGTGTGTGTGTGTGTGTGTGTGTGTGTGTGTGGTGTGCGCGTGCATGTATGTATTTAAATAAAACCCTTGTGGAACCCTAGTGCTGATTATCTATCTATCTACTATCTATCTATCTATCTATCTATCTATCTATCTATCTATCTATCAATCACAAGGACCCCATGGATAGTAGGATCTATTGTTATGCCCATTTTACATAAATGGATATAAGACATAGGCAACTAAGCCTCAGAGAAGTTAAGTAACTCGACCAAGTCACACAAACAGTAAGTGGCAGAGCCAAATTTCAAGCTCAGAGAGTCTGGCTCCAGGGTCCATGTCTTTAACTACTACTCTATACTGCCTTGAGTATCACAGCCTGGGAGGAAAATGAAAAATCCATTTCCTGCTTGACTAATTTTTTTCTCTATATAGATTCAGAGAGATTTGTCCAAGTCTGTTGATATGAGAAAGAGTGGGCAGGAACAGAAACATTTGTTGTGTTTCTGCTATGAGCCGATCAGTGTTAGGTACTTTTCATATATAGTTTCATATCTTAATGATCATAGGTCAAGCTATTCAATACAATCCTAGCTTATTAATTAGAAAACTGAGGGTCAGAGTTTTAAAATAACTTGCCAAGAACAAATAGCTAGTAAGCAACTAAGCCAGGGTTTAAAAGCAGGACTGTGTGTTCCCTATTGTACACCACGTGCTTTCAAATCTACAGATCAAATTCCAGATGACAGGTCATGGGATACTAGCCTATGTAACCAGAAAGCCTCTCAGAAATATTTTAGAGTTTAAAGCTACTCAAAATCAAGATTTCTACAAAGGAGATAGATAGGGAAATTCTGCTTCTTGTCAAAACCCTATGAATGGGAATATAACACAGGCCTCGCATCCTACCTTGATAAATATTGTCCTGAAGTGAGATTTGCAGTTTCCACATCCATGCAGTTCATCGTGCTGGGAATAAGAGCAAGTTCTGGCTGGATCATGGTGGCTGTGGCTACAGCTCTTGCGACCAGCTCCATGGCATCTTGTACATAGTACTCAAAGATGGACTGTGTTGTTTTTCCATGAGCAATGAGCCCTAGGGGCAGACCTTCTGTCCTCAGTTCCTCGACGTTTTGAGAATCCCCTAGCACCCAACGAAGCTCAGGGGGAATTACTCCAAACTGGGTGGTAATTTCAAAAATCCGTCGGATACTTTCCATGTCACAGCCAAACATCACCATTGTGGGCGTGGTGTTCTTAATACTCTCAAGCTGGACCTGCAGGAAGCTCAAGAGGTCCTCGGTGGAGGAGAGGTTGGTGGTGATGTTGATGATAGACCCGAGGTGGAACTTGGAATTATTCTGGGTAAGGATGAGGAAGTCGGTGATGTTCCAGTCTTCCTGGCACAGCAACAAGCTAAAATTGTACCAGTTGTTCATGGTCAGGACTGAGACAGTGACATCAGCGTCAGAACTTAATGAATTTTCTAAACTCAGCTGTAGGTGAAGGGGATTCTGTATTTAAAGATATGAAAAAGAAGAATTAGAAAGCATTGGCCAAAGATGATAACATAGGGTACGTTTGCTTTCTTAAGAGGCTTAATCCTTTATTCTTCCCTGAGATATTCAAATGCTTCTGGGATAAAATTCCCATCATCTGGAAAATTATGTTTCCTATCTAATGGAATTATTGATTCCTGACAACTGATTTCCTTGCTAAGGCTACCAGAGGGTAAATGATTTCTGATGTAAATGTCAGGGCTGATGCAACCGGTCTTACGTTTTTATCAGGCTTGCCTACCTCCTTATAGTTTGTCCCCTTCATGTACTCCATTTCTAACTATGGCTGTTATTAACTTATTGGTTAAATTCTCCTCTCAAGTGAAATTTAATTATTTTAAATAATAAGAAATAAGAAATTATGTTTGTTTTCCTTTAAAACGAATAGCAGGGAAATCTCAAAACAGTGCAGGCACTTGTATAAAGGTGGTGTGGAAAATGGATACATCCATTTCCTAAACTTTTAGCCTCTGAGGATGGCATTTTTCAATATATATGGTGTTATAGTCTGAATGTTTGTCTTCCCCCCAAAGTCATGTTGAAATGCTAGTGCTCAATGTGATGGTATGAGGAGGTGAGGACATGGGGCCTATAGGAAGTGATGAAATCATGAGGGCAGAATCATCATGAATGAGATTAATGCCCAAGATGCTTGAGAGAGCCCATTGGCCCCTTCTACGTGTGAGTACACAGTGAGAAGTTGGCAGGCTGTGACCTAGAAGAGGGCCCTTACTCGATCATACTGGCACCCTGATCTCAGACTTCCAATCTCTAGAACTGTGAGAAATCAATTTCTGTTGCTTACAAGCCACCCACTCTGTGGTATTTTGTTATAGCAGCCCGGATGGATTAAGACATTTGGTAAAATTAGCCATATATACATTGGATAGTTGTACTGAAGGCTTGATTACATTGTGTCTACTGAGACTGCATTTTTGCTGTGAAATGTGAAATGTGTGCCATTTAAACACATTTATGCAACTTCCATCATGATTTCACTTACTTATGAAACTCACCAAATCAATGAAGGAAGAGTATCTTATTTGAAAAGTCACAAATTAATATTACAGGTGAAGTGGAAATAGCTCTCCACGGAATAAATTTAATTGTTCTTCCTGAGAGCAGACATTTGACTTACTTATCCTTCAACACTGGCATCCTGAGAATGTTTAGCACAATACCTTACACATATTAGGTACGCAATAAATATTGGCTGAATTGAACTCAACACGTTCCCACTGGAAACTATTAGACTACTGGACTATTTCTGAGAACTTGGCAAACATTCAGGCAAATAATATATGTAGAGAAATGAGGAGGGGTTTCTCAATAAAGCATCAAACGCTGAACAAAAGGGACGTATGGCCTCCCCTTACCCACCTAAAAAACATGTCATGAGAAATAGGATTTGAGCTGAAGTTTTAATTCTATGAGGGACCGAAAGAATTTTGATATGAGTGGACTAAGGAGTGGACTATGGGAGGAATACCATGGCCAAAGGCTCTAAATGAGAACAATCATGCTGGTAGGTAGGATGAAATTTTAAAATTTAGTCTACGAATTTAACTGCTGTCCTTCAAATTAAGCTTTTAAGCAGGGTTTGTAATGATAAAAGCAGAACTTTTAGAGGATCATCTATGAGCAACACTCAACAGTGAGAGAGAAAATAAGCCCCTCAGGATCTTGGTTAGCTGCTAAGTGTTTAAACTGGAAGCCAGTGTTGGTAATGGTAAGAAGGGCATGAGAAAACGTGTTGCTTTTTTTTTTTTAAATTAAAATTTAGTGACAAAATCAGATGTGACAGGCAAAAAAGGGAGAGGTGTTAGAAACCGGGAGACAATATCCAGTAGGTAGCTCCAGGTTTCCAGGCTTGAGATGCCATACAAGATCTTGAGAAGAGAACAATGGAAGATTCCTCACTCCTACTACTGATTAAAATAAATTCCTCCAGAGAGTTTTTCTTGTCCTCTTCTGGTTTTCTTCCTTTCTATTTCCTCCTCCATTTTAACCCTCTTCCAGAAGCAAAGAGGAATGGAAGGCAAACTCTACATTTAGCTGGCAGGAACAAATTCTTCCCAACTATCTTCTTGGCATTGGCTCCCTACTCTGTTGCCAGCTTTCTTTCTAAAACATAAATATGACCATATCATTCTTCTGCACCATAACCTCTGAGTCACCCAGAGAACAGATTTCAAAATCAGTAGTATGGCTTAGGAGCCCAATCCTAGTCTTTAACTTCACCTTCAACACTCCAAACATGCACACCAAGATGAGTCATAGTGGACAATTTATTTTTCTTGTATCAGAGTAGGCATTTTCACACCTACACAAATTGGGTATGCTGATCTTTCAACATCTCCAGGATGTTTTCGTCTGTATTCATATTCATCCTTCAAAACTCAGCTCTTCCATGCAGATTTCCAGAAACTAGTTCATGTAGCATTTACTACTGTTTCTGCTGCTGCTAAACTTCAAATTTTTTTTGTATTTAAAAAAAATTGAAAATTGAAGTATAGTCGACAAAACTGCTGATCTTTTTTTTTTTTTCCACAATATTTTGGCATGTTGATTTCCTGTAATAGTGAATTGAGATTTTGTTCATTTGATTGTTCCTCTAACTCCTGACCAAGCAGAAGTAATCATCTCATGTCTGTGTAATGGTCTAATTTTGGTCATCCTTCTAATACAGAACTCTTCACACCATAACATAGTTATTTGATTAACTGTTTATCTCCCACACTAGACTGGAAGCTTCTTTAGGATAAGGAACAAATCGCAGCCATCTCTTATCACATGGCTCTTAGTTAATCAGAGATAGTATTTGTCAACCGTGGTTTTCTTTTGCTCACCTCAAGTCCTAGACTATGGTCATAATCTCTGCACTGAAAGACTAAGAAAAAGGCCATTTCTAGCAGAACTTCAAGAACTAATATTGCCCCTAGTTGGAACAAAGTCCCATCCACACACTTCCTCAGGAGGGATTCATTACATTGGTACGTTAAGGAGCAAGCTTTAATAGAGGCAGGGATGGAAGTGAAATTAGCTAATCATATTGAGCATTTAGCATGAGACACAAACAAATGCATTTGGCATGGGAAGGACATGGTAATAAAATGAAGGACAACCTCCCCACCCCACCTTGGATAATTATTAATCCATATAATCACACTCATCTCTACAAACAATTCTATTAAGAAATTCCAGTTGTTGAAGTTAATCTTTTAACAGACTTGAGGAACACCATGCTTCAAACAAATATTTATGAAATAATAGTGTGGAAACATCTTGTGATATTATCTTTATCTAGCCACCTCAGATGCAGCATCTCCCAATTTCTCTCCAAATAATAATAAAAGCACAGGTGCACGCAAGTGTGCGCGTGCGCGCGTGCACACACACACACACACACACACACACACACACACACAGATATGAAAACTTAGGACACTAAAATTCAAGCCTAATCGTAAAACTTCCATCAAAATCCTGGACAAAATATAAAAAAGACTCATCAAACCAAATTGAGAATCAAAGTCTATGTCTTACCTATAGTTTGCTGTTTGCAAAAGAGCAAAACCATGGCCTGAAAGAAGATACACTTTTTTTAATGATTTTATTTATTTTTTTAATGTTTATTTATTATTGAGAGACAGAGAGACACAGAGCGTGAGCAGGGGAGGGGTAGAGAGAGGGGGAGACACAGAATCTGAAGCAGGCTCCAGGCTCTGAGCTGTCAGCACAGAGCCTGACATGGGGCTTGAACTCACAAACCATGAGATCATGACCTGAGCCGAAGCTGGTCACCCAACCAACTGAGCCACCCAGGCGCCCCAAGAAGATATACTTAAAAATAATTTGTGCATTGCTTACCTCCTAAATTGGAGATTCAATAACAAAACAGCCTAAGAATTAGGAAGCATCTCTCAACCACGCAGACAGAGTGAGGCAGCCTCTTAAGTGCATTTAATTTATATAAATTTTTAAAATAAAGACTCAATAGGGGAAGGTAGGGAGAGAGAAAATATGTTAAATAGTACTGTTAATTCTGACTCCCCTAAATGAGTGTACTCTTTATTATATATGACATTATAGATACCATTACACATTGTAATATATGTATATTATTGCCCATAGTTGTGTACACAAAACCCTATATGCCAAACTAAACAGATAATTTAAGGGGCTTTCAAATATAATTTTCCTACATGTTGAATTGAATCTTTATTTCTACCTATGATGACATGCCACTTCACTCCATTGATTTTTAAAATTTTATTCCCATCATAATCTGTTTCTACATTACTTTGGAGGCTTAAATTCCCAAAAGTATAGGGCAAAAATGGTCATGTTGAAATGCACTCATGGAATGAAATCTCAACAAGTCAAGTGCAGAGCTGGAGGGAGAGAGGAGTTGCCAAGATGGCAATGCAGTTGCCTGTGTCAGAGGACTGCAAGAATGTCCAGGAATCATTCAATGGTGTAAGGAAAGATTGCTTCACTGGCTATGATCAGACTAGATTTAAATATTAAAGTCATTAAATAGTAAATAGTAAAATAAGTAAAATATTAAAATTCCACAGAAAGTAAAATCAGGCAAGAATGGTAAGAAAATTTGGAAACAGAAAAATGATAGAGCGGTCTTGCCTTAAAAGATATTGGAATACACCAGAAAGTACAATTTTTATAAAACAATAATTAAAACAAGGAAGTACAAACAAAAGGATTAACAGGTAAATAAGTAGAACAGATGTGTTGATGTATGTAAAGAACTACATTAATTTAATAGACTGTATTAGTATATTATAGATTGCAAATCATAAAGGAGTATGTAAGATATATATACGAGATTAGGAGTTGAGAAAATAGATCACTACTGGAAATACTTTCATTTAAATTCCTAATTCCACCATATATTAAAAATCAACTCCAGACCATTTAAAAGTACAATGAGAGGG